TGACTTTGTAACATACTCATTCTATGCAGCTAAGAGCGCACTGATCTAAATCTTTTGGCTATTGCCACTGCTCACACTCAGATTCACCCTAATTGCCTTCATCAGCAAGAGCAAGAGAGGAAATGTATTATGCAGCACATTAATTTCATATTTCTAATGCTTCAGTTGGGGATTATAACCTGCTAATGTGTTGGTCCATGCACATGTGCACAGATTCATAAGTTGATTCATAAATTGATGAGCTGAATTCCTCCCAAGTTTCCCTCTGTAACTTTAATTCATAAGATGTAGCCCTTTGCCATCAGCCAGTGGTGGGATTCAAATATGTGAACAACTGGTTATCTGTGGGGTTGCCACTTCCGGAAGTCCATTCTGGGCCTGGGCAACAAAAAATTAGCTACCGGTTCTGCCGAAGTGGTGCGAACCGGCTAATCCCACCACTGCCATCAGCCTGTGAGGATGATATGCCAAAGCTAAACTCTCTGGGTTTGAGGATACCAAATCCAGCAAAGATCCAGAGCCAGTGGCTACCATTGGCACTATCGGGGATACAATACTGATTTCATTAAAATGGTTTTCAGTTACGTATTTTTTTTTAATGAATGTATTAGTTATCCATAGTAATGGTGCTTTCAGATAAAGTGTTCCTATTCCATAATACATAAAATACATTATGCATCCATTTTATTTCTTACCTATCTCTTTAATGGGTTTTCTTTGCTAAGGAAAAAAGCAATGGGAAAAGCACAGAAGTGCCTTTCATCTGATGCCCTCTGAATGCTCCACAAACAAGCCAGAATGATTGGACAATTAAAACAATACACACACACACAAAAAAAACTTTTCTTCCAGAAGAACTTTCCTTCTTTCAATTTTGGCAATCTATAATGCATAAATTAAAGCTCATCTGTACAGTAACTTTCTTAATTGGAGGAGGTTGCACCAAGTCCATACGGTATTTCAAGAGAATTTCTCTCTTTTACAATGAAGATTTTTTGGGGGGGGACCCTGCCTGTTAAAATTTCCATAAATCATCAAAACAATTAAAAAACGAAAATTAGAATATTTCGGACATGTGATGCGACACCCAGAAAAATACAGCATACTCCATTTAATCCTCCAGGGGAAGATTGAAGGCAAACGAGGCCCAGGCAGAAGAAGAACATCATGGCTTCAAAATCTAAGGGACTGGTTTGGACAAAACTCAGCAGCACTTTTTCATGCGGCTGCTGATAAAAAACATGATCGCCAACATCCGATAACGGATATGGCACAAGAAGAAGAAGAATTGAAATGTTGGCAGCCAAGATATTGAATGATACTTAAGCTGCAAGACCTTCTGAGACCAGTAATATGCTACATGTGAAAAAGAAAAAGGCATATTTTTTTTTTGCCAAAACTTGTGGGGATTGGAGGGTGGGGATGTCTCGCAGGAAATTATATTCCAAAACAAAAGAAGTGACAGGAACTTATTTTCATGAATGTGGGCAGTTCTAAACAATAAAATTAACCAATATGAAATTCAACTTACAATAAATAAGAATTAGGATCACTGAAAATCAGTGTTTGGTAAAGCCAGAATCAGTTTGGTGTAGTAGTTAAGACATCTGGCTAGAAACCAGGAGACCATGAATTCTAGTTCCATCTTAGGTATGAAGCCAGCTGGGTGACCTTGGGCCAGTTACTTTCTCTTAGCCCTAGGAAACAGACAATGGCACATTGCTTCTGAAATCTTGCTTAAAAAACTGCAGGGATTTGTCCAGATAGTTGTCACGAGTCAATAGAGACTCCAAGGTGCAATAAACTCCCACACAGATAACCACAAAACATATACATTACATATAAACATTTAAGTGGCCTGAGGAAACAACTTAGCCCCCCCCCCCCCCCCCCNCCCCCCCCCCCCCGCAAACCCAATAGTTAAGGACAATTTTCATGGCCTTCCTAAATGCTACCAATATGGGAGCTATCCAAAATTCAGAAGGTAGACTATTCCATAGAAATGGGGGCCACACTAAGAACATCTGCTTAACATCCCCCCGGGAGAGGAATTAAAGTATCTGTCTGAGTTTGAACATACGGGATGGGCAGATAAGTTGAAGACCTGGTCCCAGCAATACAGAAGGATTATACCATATAGTACTTTAGAGCAGAGGTCCCCAACCTTTTGGGCACCAGGGACCATTTCTGTGGAGAAAGATTTTTCCACATACCGGAGAATGCATGGTTGTGTGTGCTGCCTGCATCCCACGAATGGGGCTTTGCTTGTTTGTGCAGACCGGTTGCTGGCATGCTGCGGCCCGGTACTGGTCCACAGACAGGGAGTTGGGGACTCCTGCTTTAGAGGTCAAAAACAGCATTTTGCTCTGAACACAGAAAATTATTGCCAGCACCCTTACTTCAGGGGGCACACTACTGAAGTGTTTCTCGTTCATGTGTAAATAGGCTGCCACATTCTGTATCAACTAACATTTCCAGTTAGTCTCCAAAGGCAAAATGTCTAGCTACCATATAACAGTGGCACTTCATCCACCCTTACTGAAAATGGTATGGGCCATCTTAAAACAAAACAACATTCAATTATTTAATTGAGAGCAGACAATCATTTGTCCCATACTGTAGTATAGGCATGAATATGAAGTCATACTTGTACTCAGTCTTCACTTCTTATCTTTTACCATCAGTGTTCAATCATTCACTTTTTGCCCCATCATCTCCATGAGTTCCTAAGGAAATCAAGGGTATTTAGGTTTGGTGAACAGAAAAAGGGTACCTGGAGGCAAGACTCTCATCATCTCTCCATACAAGAGCTCATTGGGATGCATATGAGGTTTACCTGCCAGACCACTTGGGAAATCTCCAAACTTCTCCTGAAAAATAGCTAGATCCATGATGAATCTGGAGTGGACCATCAAAATCGACTCTGCCACTTTGGCAGAAATCAAAAGATGCCAATAAACCGTACTATAATATCATTTTAAAATCAGATATCTCTTCCTGCATTTCAGTAACGATCAAAGGCAGAACCTTACAAACAACTTAGAAAAGAATATTTGCAGGTGTCTTATTCCACACTGTGTAGTTTTGACTATGAGCAGAGGATGGGGGATAGTGAAACTAAATAACTGAAAATATCAGTAAATTGCACATGATGTCTCAAGAAATATTGAAAGGACAAGAAGCTCATCATTTCATTTCTATATAATTAATTGCAAAATATAACACAGAGTAGTTCCAGTATGGTAATTTTATGTACAAATTAACTCTAGAATATGTTCACTCTGGTTCTTTATATGGACAATATGGTTCTATTTTTCCAATACCCCAAATATTGCAGATGCCAGGAGCAATCCTGTTCTGGTTGGTTCAAAAATGACATATTGCAAATTTAAGACAAATGCACAATTTGTATTATTTATCAAGGTCAGTTTCAAGATTCAGTTTTAAAATTTATCCCTCATGGTACATAGAGAACAAGGGCAAGATAAGAATAGCCTCACTGCTACAACAAATTATGGACATTTGCTGCATGGCTTGAGGACAGCTTCAGGACACAGAATTCATTTCAGAAGTATATTCCTATTCCATCTTTGCAGCTTTCAGGCTCCAGAAAGACACAATACCTGAGTGAGGTATTAATGTATTAATACAAACGGTTATGAATGAAGGCAAATATACGTGTCCCCAGGATAATGTTGCAGGATCCAATCTAGGTAGGTCATCAGAACCAGATATTTAATCTTCTGAGCTTTCAGACTCCTGCTGGTTACATTTATGTAGACATACATGTCAGGGTATACATCTGTGTGTATGTCTGTATGCACCCACACACACACACAAATCAGCAAAAAATGAAGTTTACATTGGAGCTGGAAAGTATTTGTTGAAGAATACAAATAGGAGAACACTTACATTTTTCCAGTCTCATATTCTTGAATGGCTGGTGTAAGATTCCCCAGTTTTGTTCATACGGGAAAGAAAAAAAATATTCAATAGTGAATGATTTGCCATAATATTCCTGTTAGGTTTTTTTTTTTACTTACAGGAAAATATATGGATCTCTTTCTTCAAGAAAAGCTATTTGCTTAAATAAGCAAAACACAGATGGCAAACTGGCAGACAGGCATGTAACAGTAACAGGTATTTCTTGAGTTTGAGAAAGCACATACCAAACTACTTTATTTCTACTACTCACTGTTAAACAGAGGAATTATGTAAATGGATTCTTCAGCATTGCCAACAACTTAATAAAGATAGTGAGAAACAAACATAATCATATCTTAATCTTGCTTTCCCTATCCTAATGACCTTTACTTGTATTGCGCAACAGTTTTGATCTTCTCAACTACCCTGATGGGAGTTGTCATATAATGGGTGGCAGTTGGGAATGTTGTGTTGGTATCACCCATTGGCACTGGCATTACTAGCCTTTTACCCCAATTATTTATACCAGTGAATCTAAAGTAGACTGGATATATTTCTATTTTCTATACAAAAGACACAAGGGAACTTGTACACTCCAATTGTGCTGCTGCTGTTTCACAGCCAAGAGTAGCTTGGCAGATATTTGAACGGAAGCAAGTAACTAGCAATTCACTGAAGAGAGTTCCTCCCACTGGTGTCAGTCATGCTGCATATGAGAAAGGGAGGATAATGAAAGGGTGGTGGCAGACAGACTTAAACCCTTACTGCAAGACGACATGGGAAGCATGGCAATGTGAGGGGCTTCCCATTCCTTATCAAGAACAAAGTCAGGAGTGAAACAAGGATCCCATAAAAGTGGATTATTATTTCCAAGCATCTGAGAAGCTTCAGACAGCTGCAGCTGGGATAAGACCTCCATGTCCAGTGTCAAATTGGAGAACAGGCAAAATCAAAAGCTACTCCTCACCTAGAAAAAAGCCAATTGCACTTTTCAAACAAGCTTAAAGATTATCAACGATATTGCTGAGATCTAATCAAATAATTACCTAGATAATACAAAGCTTGGATTAAAACTGAAGTTTTGGCTTTTTTAATCAGGCATAAGCATAAAGAAGAATTTCCAGGGGCTAATAAGACGACAACAAACATTTGAGGGACTGCTGACAGCTTGGAACAAGGCCAGATGAACAACGGTAGAGAATGCTCCATTTCACACAACAACATTTCCACATGTCAAAGTTTCTTGCGGTGCCACTTTGCCCATCTAAAGAAGCAGATGGCCCAACAGAGGGCAGAGTATGAAGCTATCATTTTAAGGTAAATATTCAAGTTCACAATATGTCAACAACTGGGACAGGGCTTACTGTATTTATTTATTTATTTATCAAATTTGTATGGCTGCCCGTCACGCCCAAAGCAATTCTAGGCAGCATAACATGCATTTGAATATCCTGTGCGTTGCTATTGTCAGAAACGCAGCAGAAATATTGTTTGTGGAAAAATTTATGGAATGGTTGGAATGAATACTGATAAATTAGATTACAACCTACCAATAATGAGAATAACTATTTGCCTTGTACTTTATATACTTCTAGCAATGCATTGTGAAAGACCAGTTAATATGGTTGCACTTTGCGTAGTAAACAGCAAGCTGCAAGCAGAAAAATAAATCACATATACAGTAATTTGCATGTATTGAGCAACCACCCTAATTCACATTTCATAGGGCAGTTTTGTTTTTTTACTGCCACTTTATTGAACTACAATACAGTGTTTGGGCTACTAGTGTCAGATTCATTTTCTTCCTGTGAATAAGTGAAAGTAGTGATTTCAACACATGACAGGGATAAAGGAGACAAAGATGAGTGTGATTATAATCTGAGATGTTACTTTTTAAACCAAGTTATTACAACGATGCCTGAGCATCCTTCTTTAGCTTGTGGCTCTTGATTTATGTTACTGAGAATCTAGAATAAAACCTTTCAAGTACTTTCTACTTTCAATATGAAAATAACTCGGGATAAAGCCAGAGAAATGAAGCACTTGTAAAATGAAAAACCACACTGTCTTTTTTTTTTATGCCAACAGCCTGGAGCAACAGAATAAAGAAATGGACATAGAGGTTAAGGATCTACATTCAAAATTGGATCAGCAACGGCAATGGCATCGTTTAATGGAAATTAAAATATGCAATGCGGAGAGGGCATGCAAAGATGCAGAGAGGAGAAATGAAACTCTTCAGAGAGAAATGGAAGACTTTTTTTGTACATTTGGAAAACTGACAAGTGAAAAAAAGCTGCTGGAGCAAATTACTCCAAGCTTTTAGATGCTATCTTATCCTAGCTTCATCCGACAAAAAAACCTACACATGTACTCATTATCCAAATACTTAAAAGTAAAAAATGCAAATAAAGATCCTCTTTATTGTATTTTTTAAAATACTAAATGTTTAGTAAATTTTTGTTTGAATGGTTAGAGAATTATATTTTTAAAACTGGGCCTGGAAAGATTTAAGTACTGGAAGAAAAAACTGAAGTATGTGTTTGTTAAGAGTAGAAAAAAGAATTTCTATAGCAAGCCCCATTCTTGCAAGAGAATGCAAGAGAGAGAGAGAGAAAAGAAAGACTGAGAGTTGCTTTGAATTGGGAAATCTAGTTTAGGGATCCTGCAATGAATCCAAACATCTCTTAAGATTCTAATGTATTGTTAAAATTACTGATAGACTATAATTATATGCTATCTGACTTCCGTTCAAAAAGATAGAAACACCTCTGTGAAAGTAACAGTAGATCCTAGGACAGGGCAACCAACCATTATTCTATAATTTTATTGTGTAACTCCATGCCATGAAGCATAGTGTACTAGAGCTAAGCTAATTACAATGAGGAAGCAACGAGGAAAAAGAAAATGAATATTAAATATTAGATACAATTAGACATATTTTCTTTTATTCTAGCACTGAAAATTACTTCAGATGATTTAATGGGAAAGATCCTCAAATTTCTACAACAATTTAGCTGATTTGATACACAAGATACCCACACTTTTGGGAGTCACAGTTTTGCTGAAAAGCAACTGGGCAGTTTGGCTGCTTTTTTTCTGTAGGAGAATATTTCCCCTCCCACCATGCATTTTACAAGTACAGTTATGGCATCTAGTGGGATAAAATATTTGGCATCTTGGTAAATGTCTTAGGAAATGTCAAGGTTCAAGACACTGAGGCTCAGTCGTAGGAGTCATTATACAGCTGTGTGGACATTTTGTATGAGCCTATTTTCCAGAAGAATTTTCCATTTTGTAATAAAGTCCATCAGCTTTTTGTTTAGTGTTTTGTAGATGTCTCTGTAATAGGAAATCTTGGCCTAGCAACAAAAAGAGGAAGAAAAAGAAATGTTCGCTATTTTTCTGTTATATATTGGAAATACAGATGTTTAATTTTAATGAACATTACCAAAAATATTTATTTTTGAAGTTTCTTTCTGTAGGTTCAGGCCAAGGACATACTTACTTTGGAATCTGTAAATGCATTTAAAGTCAGTAGATCAAACAGTCCATTCCTTGAAATCGTGGAAATGCATGTAATGATAAAATACAAATATTTTAAATTTAAAAAGATGTCCCTAATCCATAATTGCACTACCAGGTATTTGTTAGCCTTGGCCTGACTCCGGTTTGCTATTTGGTGCAAACTGTTTGGGGTTTGTATACATTTTGTTTTAATGACGTCCATTTTTAGTGTTGATTTTCCTGTTTTTAAATGTCAGTTTTTATATATATATTCTTTTTTACTGACTGTTCTACATCATCCAGAGACATTTCTCATGAGATGAGTGGCTATGTAAGTCTGATTAATAAATAGATTATAGCAATAAATGTGTTGTATTATTAAATCTAGTGTGTTTTGCTGTTCCTGAACCTGCTGGATCTGCTAGTCATTATCTATACTTCCGTAAGTTATAGAAGGAGACTACTGCAATGTGCTGTACAGGAGGTGCTCTTAAATAATACATGGAAGCTTCAAATAGTGCAAAAATGCAGGAGCAGGAATAGGAACAGCTAAGTTTGATTTTTAACCTTTAAGCCTTAGCTAGCTTAGAGGCCAATTGCCTGACAAAGCATCTTCCTTGTTATGGATTTTCTATGCACTAAAAATATTATTGAGGGCCTCTCTTAAAACACATTAGGACTTCGAAGATGCCTCATTTCCAAGCATTAGCATGCATTCTCTTTGACATTGCACTTAGCCCCACTATGTTCTTAGGAAAGGCTATGAATTAGACCAGTGATTATTTTAGCTGGTGTTCTAAACCAGGGCTTTTCAACCTTTTCACCCATTGTACCACTTTTAGGATATGGCAACATCCGAGTACCACCAGTCGCCTAGCAAGGTGTCAAAAACTTGATGACCCAAAAAAGAAAGGAAAAAAGTGATGAAGCACAGGTAGTCCTCAACTTACAACAGTTCGCTTAGTGACTGTTTGAAGTTACAATGTCACTGAAAAAGGTGCCCCCCAAGCCAGAGCCAAGCAAGACACCTGCCTGCCCACCGAGCGGCGCTCTTCCTCCTGTCCGAGGTTTTCATTGTTGTGAGCATTTCTGTTGAGGATTGGCAGCAGGGGTGGGGTGGGGGGTGTTTGGTTTTTATTCCCGCCATCTGCTGGGTGGTTGCAGCAGGTTTTGGTCACTTCACATGACCCTGGGACACTGTGACCGTCATAAATATGACGAATACTTCACTCACAGAACTTTAAACATATGGATTTTTAAAGTTACTGCTCCATAAGTCTAAAGCAGTGATGGCGAACCTTTTAGAGACCGAGTGCCCAAACCGTAACCCAAAACCCACTTATTTATTGCAAAGTGCCAGGGCCGCATCAGCATTGTGGTGCCCTCATGGGGGGGCAGGGAGGTGCCTCTGAGTGCCGCCTCTGGCACGCAAAAACCGGGGGCGCAAAAATGGCTCACCGTGCTGCAAGGCACAATAACAGCTGTGCCATGGGGTGCAGATACAAGGCGCTGCACCATGCAAGAACGGGGCAGGGCTAGTGAGTATCACGCAGGCACTAGCCTCGCCCCATTTGCAGCATGTGTGTGCTCGCGGCCCTGTGCACGCATGCATGTAAAATGCTTCCCCCTCCCTTCCTTTTCTTCCAGTCCACCAATCAACAATGGTTGGTGACCTCTGCTCTACGACCTCTACTCGAGCTTGCTAGTCGGCAGCTTCACCTCCTTTGTGCTGGGCGGGGCTCCTGCTCTGGGTGGCAGTGGGGGCCTGAGGCACCTGCTGCTGGTGGCGGTGGCGCGTGCCAACAGAGAGGGCTCTGAGTGCCACCTCTGGCACACGTGCCATAGGTTCGCCACCACTGGTCTAAAGTCATAATGAAGGGCTGTAAACTTAGTAATTTTCTAACTGAAGTTAGTGGAAAATAAATATGCTAAGAAAATTTATTTGTTAAACTAGGCACTAGCACCTAGACCAGGGGTAGGAAACCTTGGCTCTTTTATAACTTGTGGACTTTAACTCCCAGAATTCCTGAGTCAGCATGACTGGTTCAGGAATTCTGGGTATTGACGTCCACAAGTCATAAAAGAACCAAGGTTACCTACCCTGACCTAGACCATGTGACCAGAGATGCTGCGCTGATGGCTAATCAGAACTGCCATTCATTCAGCACCATCATACGTTTCATAAGTTTGATTGCTCACTTAATCTGCAGTTGTTAAATGAGGACCACCTATATGTGCAACCATATATAAACCCTGAAAATAAGGAAAATATTACTTTTATATACAGGTATCTGTAAGAGCTGGTGCTATAGTTGTGTTGAACTGCATCAATCTCAATTGTAATATACAAAATGCTATAAATGATTTACCAATAAAGACAGGAGGCATGAATATACTGAGAAGAATTAACATGCTTAAATTTTTTAAAAAAATTACTGGAGTGCAAAAAGTGAACAGCAGCATGACAACATGAACATTAAGATTTTAAATAACACAATGTAAATTTTAAACACATTTTAAACATTTATTTCTCGATTTTCAAAAGAATTCATTTCTTAATTTTAGAACCAATTAAACTTGGGGTTTAATTAAATGTTACTATTTCCAAGACATTATTATTTTAAAATTGTATAAGTATTGAAATATAGGACCCAAGCTTATCTACAATATCCACAATGAGTTAGTGGCAGTGAAATTCACAATCAGAATTACAATTATAAAAATAAAATATAATTTTATAATTCAAAAATGAGAATGATTTTTTTGTTTTGTACATATAAGGAGTAGATGGCTTGCAATTCTTCAATACAAAGTTCTTATCATGCACAGTGCATATAACATGAGACTTGTTACATAATGGTATTAAAAAGATTCTAAGCAAATTATTTAAATATTTGGCAAATTTTCATGTCCCAATGTATAAAATATGATCTCAGAAGTATACATGATGGAAGAAAGACATAAAATATCAGGGAGTCTTCTGAGAGAAATGAATTTGAGGCTCAAGTTCTAGACTTGGGAATCGGTAAAACATACATGAACTTCAATTAAGTTCTACAAATACATTCATCACCAGGAAGAAATTCCGCTCCAATAGAATTGCTAAATTTATATGCCCTGATTAGTTTTATACATCACAACTTCAACCAGCTTTACAGGCACTATTGATTTTAGATTCATAAAATTTAATCAAGGTTCTTAATATGCATTTCTTCAGTTCTGGATTTTGCAGTTCAACTATTTATTATACATAGACCTCATTACTGCAAAATGTATCTGCACTTGGAAAAAAGTATTTGGCCATTTTAGGAATTTTTATCCAGCAAGCAATTCTCAAACGATAAGGGTCACCAATTCTGTTTTGGAACTCAGAATCTCTGAGATTCAGACATTATTAACTTGGCAATTTGCAGTACAGCCTAGCACAAATCTGTAGACTGCATACATGCATTTTCCCTAATTCATGGAGCGCTACATAATAGCCCAAAGATACAGATCAATACTATTACATCCTATTACTTTAGCCTTAATCCAACAAACCTTATACTTAATTCTATACATCAAAGGAGCTTTCAAAATAATTTCCCAAGTTCGGCAGACGACAAGCATCTTGTGAAGCTAACAGAGTTTCAAAAACATATTCGTGATATGACCTGTGATCTGCCATTCAAAGGAAAATGAGAGTCAAGGCACACTGGGCACATCCAGGCCTAAATTAGGAATATGATCTAAGCCCTTCTCTCTAAATTCATGTTTTTTAATAAAAAAAAAATCATGTAAACATGATGTAACAGCAACAAAAGACTTCAGCATGCTGTGTTGCAGAAAAGGTTTTAGATAGAATGGATCAGTGAAGGTGCAGGTGTTACAATTCTTAAACCAACTCTGAACCATAATGTAAACAGACACTGAAGTCATCTGAAAAGTAAACATTTGGATGCATAAATATTCCCTT